GCCAGGCTGGGAGAGCCGGGAATGTGCAGCTGGATCGGGGAAGGAATGGAATTCCCAGTGGGAAAGGGGAGCTTGGGATTTTGGGATCTTGGGAAGGAATTCCGGCTGGGCTGGAATTCCCAGAGAATCCCGGGAATATCCAAGGAAAGGTGGGATCACCCTGGGATTGGGATTGGAATGGGATGGGATTGGAGCTCCATGGATCCCATCCCAAACCATTCCGGGATTCTGGGATCAAGGATGCTCAGGATCCATCCCGAGGGATTTTTATGGAATTCAGAGTTTGAAAAGTCCTGAATTCCCAGTAAAGGAAAAACCCAGTGGGGATTTTGGGCAGTTTTTTGGGGGGGTTTGGGGTTTTTTTCAGTTTTGGGTTTTGTTTGTCTGTTTGTTTTTGGTTATTTGGGCATTTTGAGGGTTTTTTGGGTTCTTTGTGGGTTTTTTGGGGGTTCTTCGTGGTTTTTTGTGGTTCTTTGTGGTTTTTTGGGTGTTCTTTGGGATTTTTTGGGTGTTCTTTGGGATTTTTTGGGGGTTCTTCGGGGAATTTTTTTGGAGTTTGGGGTTTTTTTTGGAGTTTTTTTGGTGTTATTTGGGGTTTTGGGTGGGTTCTTTTGGGGTTTTTTGGGGGTTTTTTTTGGGTTTTGTTTTGGGTTGTTTTTTGGGCATTTTTGGGGGGTTTTATTTTGTTTTGTTTTGGGGTTTTTTTTTGGGTTCTTCAGGGTTCTCGGGTGTTTCTGGGGCTCTTTGGGGTTTTTTGTTCTCTCCACCCCCGGAAGCCGCGTCCTTTGCACAACCCGCGGGTGACACTCGGGCGTGTCCCCTCCCCGTGGGGACACCTCCCCCACCGCGTCCCGAAAAAACCCAGCACGGCTTCGGGAATTCCCTGGGAATTCCAGGTGGGAACGACCCCAAATCCCGCCCGGGGATGATTTTTAGGGAATGGGGGACAAAAATATTCAATTTACGGGCTGATTTTTCCTTTTCTCCCCCACTTTTCCCTCATTCCCAGCCCCATTCCAGGTGGGAATGACCCCAAATCCAGGGACACCGAGGGACACCCAGGGACACCGAGGGACATCCAGGGACAGCCAGGGACACCCAGGGACACCCAGGGACACCGAGGGACACCCAGGGACACCCAGGGACACCCAGGGACACCCAGGGACACCGAGGGACACCGAGGGACACCCAGGGACACCCAGGGACACCCAGGGACATCCAGGGACACCGAGGGACACCGAGGGACATCGAGGGACACCCAGGGACACCCAGGGACATCCAGGGACATCGAGGGACACCGAGGGACATCCAGGGACACCCAGGGACACCCAGGGACACCCAGGGACATCCAGGGACACCGAGGGACACCGAGGGACATCGAGGGACACCCAGGGACACCCAGGGACATCCAGGGACACCCAGGGACACCCAGGGACACCGAGGGACACCCAGGGACACCGAGGGACACCCAGGGACACCGAGGGACACCCAGGGACACCCAGGGACATTGAGGGACACCGAGGGACATCGAGGGACACCCAGGGACACCCAGGGACACCCAGGGACATCCAGGGACACCGAGGGACACCCAGGGACACCCGGGGACATCCAGGGACACCCAGGGACACCAAGGGACACCGAGGGACACCGAGGGACACCCAGGGACACCCAGGGACACCCAGGGACATCCAAGGGACACCCAGGGACACCGAGGGACACCCAGGGACACCCAGGGACACCCAGGGACATCCAGGGACAGCCAGGGACACCCAGGGACACCCGGAGACACCCAGGGACACCCAGGGACACCGAGGGACACCCAGGGACATCCAGGGACACCCAGGGACACCGAGGGACACCCAGGGACACCCACGGACACCGAGGGACACCGAGGGACACCGAGGGACACCCAGGGACACCCAGGGACATCCAGGGACACCCAGGGACACTCAGGGACACCCAGGGACATCCAGGGACACCGAGGGACACCGAGGGACACTCAGGGACATCCAGGGACACCGAGGGACACCGAGGGACACTCAGGGACACTCAGGGACACCCAGGGACACCGAGGGACATCCAGGGACACCCAGGGACACCCAGGGACACCGAGGGACACCCAGGGACACCCAGGGACACCCAGGGACACCCAGGGACACCCAGGGGCATCCAGGGACATCCAGGGACACCCAGGGACACCCAGGGACACCCAGGGACACCCAGGGACACCGAGGGACATCCAGGGACACCGAGGGACACCCAGGGACACTCAGGGACATCCAGGGACACCGAGGGACACCCAGGGACACCCAGGGACACCGAGGGACACCGAGGGACACTCAGGGACACTCAGGGACATCCAGGGACACCGAGGGGATTTTGGAAATGTCAGGAATTTGGGAAATTATGGAATTTTGGGGACTTTGGGAATTTTTGGGATTTTGGGGGTTTGGGGAAATTTTGGGGAATTTTGGTAATTTTGGGATTTGGGGAATTTCAGGAATTTTGGGAATTTGGGATTCTTGGGGAGTTTGGGGATTTGGGGAATTTTTATCATTTGGTGGATTTTGAGGATTTTGGGGAGTTTGGGAATTTGGGGAATTTTGGGGATTTTTTGGGATTTTTGGGGATTTTTTTGAATTTCAGCAATTCTGGGAGTTTGGGGAGTTTGGTAACTTTTAGAATTTGAAAGCTTGGGGGATTTTTGGGCGATTTTTGGGATTTTTGGGATTTTTGGGATTTTTGGGATTTGGGAATTCAGGGAGTTTGGGGAGTTTGGTGACTTTTAGAATTTGAGAGTTTGGGGGATTTTTTTGGATTTTTTTTATTTTTTGGATTTTGGAATTTCAGCAATTCTGGGAATTTGGGGAGTTTGGTCACTTTTAGTATTACAGAGATTGGGGGATTTTTTGGGGATTTTGGGGATTTTTGGGATTTTTGGGATTTCGGCAATTCTGGGAGTTTGGGGAGTTCGGTAACTTCTGGAATTTGAGAGATTGGGGGATTTTTTTGGGATTTTTTTTGACTTTTGGGATTTTTGGGATTTTTGGGATTTCGGCAATTCTGGGAATTTGGAGAATTTGGTAACTTTTAGAATTTGAAAGATTGGGGGATTTTTTGGGATTTTGGGGATTTTTGGGATTGGGGAATTTGGGGAGTTTGGTAACTTTTAGAATTTGAAAGATTGGGGGATTTTTTGGGATTTTTGGGATATTTGGAATTTCGGCAATTCTGGGAGTTTGGGGAGTTCGGTAACTTTTAGAATTTGAGCGATTGGGGGATTTTTTGGGATTTTTGGGATTTTTGGGATTTTTTTGGCATTTTTGGGATTTTTGGGATTTTTGGGATTTTTTTGGGATTTTTTTGGATTTTTTGGATTACTTGTGATTTTTGGAATTTCTGCAATTCTGGGAGTTTGGGGAGTTTGGTAACTTTCAGAATTTGAGCGATTGGGGGATTTTTTTTTTTTTTTGATTTTTGGGATTTTTGGGATTTTTGGGATTTGGGAATTCTGGGAGTTTGGGGAGTTTGGTTACTTTTAGTATTACAGAGATTGGGGAATTTTTTGGGGATTTTTGGGATTTTTTTGGGATTTTTGGGATTTTGAGATTTTTGGGATTTGGGATTTTTGGGATTTGGGATATTTGGGATTTTTGGGATTTGGGATTTTTGGGATTTGGGATATTTGGGATTTTTGGGATTTGGGAATTTGGGATTTTTGGGAATTTGGGAATTTGGGAATTTGGGAATTTGGGAATTTGGAATTTGGGAGCAGCGCTGACCTGCTGGTAGAAGTAGAGCAGCGTGGGCCGATCCTCCCGGAAGCGCTCCAGGAAATCCTCGGGCAGGTACCGGATCTGCAGGTCGTACCTGCCGGGACAGCCGGGACCTGTCACCCCCGGTGTCACCTCCGTGTCCCTGTCACCCCGGGGTGTCACCTCAGTGTCCCTGTCACCCCTGGGTGTCACACCCCAGTGTCCCTGTCACCTCCGGGGTGTAACCCCAGTGTCCCTGTCACCCCCGGGTGTCACATCCCTGTGTCCCTGTCACCCCGGGGTGTCACCCCAGTGTCCTCAACACCTCTGGGGTGTCACCTCCGTGTCCCCAACACCTCCGGGGTGACATCCCAATGTCCCTGTCACCCCCGGGGTGTCACCCCTAGTGTCCCCAACACCTCTTGAGGGACATCTCCATGTCCCTGACACCTCCAGGGTGTCACCCCAGTGTCCCTGTCACCTCTGGGGTGTCACCTCCATGTCCCCAACACTTCCAGGGTGTCGCCTCCATGTCCTTGTCACAACCAGGGTGTCACCCAAGTGTCCCTGTCACGTCCAGGGTGACACCCCAGTGTCCCCAACACCTCCTGAGGGACACCTCCATGTCCCTGTCACCTCCAGGGTGTCACCTCCATGTCCTCAACACCTCCAGGTTGTCACCTCCCTGTGTCCCTGTCACCCCCAGGGTGTCATGTCCGTGTCCCCAACACCTCCTGAGGGACACCTCCATGTCCCTGTCACCTCTGGGGTGTCACCTCCATGTCCCTGTCACCTCCGGGGTGTCACCTCCATGTCCCTGTAACCTCCACAGTGACATCCCCGTGTCCCCAACACCTCCAGCGTGACATCCCCATGTCATTGTCACAACCATGGTGACATCTCCATGTCCCTGTCACCACCGCGGTGACATCCCTGTCTCCCTGTCACCTCCACAGTAACATCTCCCTGTCCCTGTCACCACCATGGTGACAACTCCATGTCCCTGTCACCTCCTGAGTGACATCTCCCTGTCCCTGTCACCTCCACAGTGACATCCCAGTGTCCCCAACACCTCCAGCGTGACATCCCCATGTCATTGTCACAACCACGGTGACACCTCCATGTCCCTGTCACCACCATGGTGACACTTCCCTGTCCTTGTCACCTCCAGAGTGACACTTCCATGTCCTTGTCACCTCCAAGTCCCTGTCACCTCCACAATGTCACCTCCAAACTCCCTATCTCCATGACGGTGACACCTCCCTGTCCCTGTCACCTCCTTAGGGACACCTCCATGTCCTGGTCATCTCCACAGTGACAATTCCACACCTCTGTCACCTCCAGAGTGACACTGCCACATCCCTGTCACCTACAGAGTGACACCCTCGTGTCCCCAACACCTCCAGAGTGACAACTCCATGTCCTGGTCATCTGCAGTGTGACATCTCTGCGTCCCCAACACCTCCTTAGGGACACCTCCATGTCCCTGTCACCTCCACAGTGACACCCCCATGTCCCTGCCACCACCATGGTGACACCTCCATGTCCCTGTCACCACCACAGCGACATCCCTGTGTCCCCAACACCTCCAGTGGGACATCCCCATGTCATTGTCACAACCACGGTGACAACTCCATGTCCCTGCCACCACCATGGTGACATCCCCGTGTCCCTGTCACCTCCACAGTGACACCTCCCTGTCCGTGCCACCTCCTGAGTGACATCTCCGTGTCCTTGTCACCTCCTGAGTGATATCTCTGTGTCCCTGTCACCTCCATGGTGACACCTCCATGTCCTTGTCACCTCCTTAGTGACACCTCCATGTCCCTGTCACCTTCATAGCGACATCCCTGTGTCTCTGTCACCTCCTTAGAAAAACCTCTGTGTCCCTGTCCCCTCCTGAGTGACATCGCCATGTCCTTGTCACCTCCACAGTGACATCCCCATGTCATTGTCACAACCATGGTGACACCCCCATGTCCCTGTCATCACCACGGTGACACCTCCCTGTCATTGTCACAACCACGGTGACATCTCCATGTCCCTGCCACCTCCAGAGTGACACCTCCATGTCCCTGTCACCTCACCAGTGACACCTCCAAGTCCCTGTCACCTCCAGAGCGACACTTCCATGTCCTTGTCACCTCCAAGTCCCTGTCACCCCTGGGGTGTCACCTCCATGTCCCTGTCACCACCACAGTGACACCTCCATGTCCCTGTCACCACCACAGTGACACCTCTGTGTCCCTGTCACCACCACGGTGACACCCCCACGCCCCCACCCCCTCCACCCTTCCCACCACCGGGACCCCGTGTGGGTGACACGGAGAGCGACCGCGCCACCGCCACCGCCACCGTCACCGTCACCATCTCCACCATCGTCACTGCCACCGTCACCACCACCACCACCACCACCAACGCCAACGCCACTGCCACCACTGCCACCGTCACCACCACCACCACCACCAACATCAACGCCACCGCCACCGCTGCCACTGGCACTGCCACCATCTCCACCATTGTCACCGCCAATGCCAACGCCAATGCCACCGCTGCTGACATCGCCACCATCACTACCGCCACTGCCACCATCTCCACCATCGTCACTGCCACCACCACCGCCACCGCCGCCAACGCCAATGCCAACGCCAGCGCCAACGCCACCGCCACCGCCACCATCTCCACCATCGTCACTGCCACCACCATCACCTCCGCCACCGCCACCATCACCACCACCACCACTGCCACCACCACCATCTCCACCATTGTCACCGCCAATGCCACCACCACTGCCACCGCTGCCACTGTCACCACCACCGCCACCGTCACCACCACCGCCACCACTGCTGTTGACATCACCGCCACCACCACCACCACCACCGCCACCGTCACCGTCACCGTCACTGCCACCACCACCGTCACCACCAACGCCACCACCACCACCGCCACCGCCAACGCTACTGCCACCATCTCCACTATCGTCACCACCACTGCCACCATCTCCACCATCGTCACTGCCAACACCAACGCCAATGCCAACACCAATGCCACCGCCACCTCTGCCACCGTCACCACCACCACCACCACCACCACCAACGCCAACACCACCACCGCCGTTGTCATCACCGCCGCCGCCACCACCACTGCCAACGCCACCGTCACCGTCACCGCGGCGGTGCCCCACCTCCACTCGGCTTCCAGGTGGAGGCACTCGTACTTGTCCTGGACCTCTCCGACGGTCAGGGCGGGGTGCAGCCAGTGCTCCTCGTCCGACTTGACGTGCTTCAGCCGCAGCCCGTAGCACGCGGGCAGCCGCACCTCGGGCCCCATCCGCCCGCTCTGCAGGATGGAGCCGATCACCTCCTGGGAACGGGAACGGCGGGGGGTCGGAACGGGAAACGGGATCTGATCCCGTCCGATCCCACCGTTCAATGGTGAGACAGCGTTTCCGCGGATTCTTTGGGAAAACGGGAATGTGGAGAGATCGGGGTGGGAAATGGGATCTGATCCCGTCCTGTCCTAATGTCTGACGGTGAGACAGCGTTTCCATGGATTCTCTGGGAAAATGGGAATGTGGAGAGATCGGGGTGGGAAACGGGATCTGATCCCGTCCTGTCCCAATGTCTAACGGTGAGACAGCGTTTCCTGGGATTCTTTGGGAAAATGGGAACGCGGAGAGGTCGGGGTGGGAAACGGGATCTGATCAAATCCTGTCCCACCGTCCGATGGTGAGACAGCGTTTCCTGGGATTCTCTGGGAAAACGGGAACACAGAGTGCTCAAGGTGGGAAACGGGATCTGATCCCATCCCGTCCCAATATCTAATGGTGAGACAGCGTTTCCTGGGATTCTTTGGGAAAATGGGAACGCGGAGAGATCGAGATGGGAAACGGGATCTGATCCCGTCCCGTCCCAGCGTCCAATGGTGAGACAGCGTTTTCTGGGATTCTCTGGGAAAACGGGAATGTGGAGCGCTCAGGGTGGGAAACGGGATCTGATCCCGTCCCATCCCACCATCCAACGGTGAGACAGCGTTTCCTGGGATTCTTTGAGAAAATGGGAACATGGAGAGATTGGGGTGGGAAACGGGATCTGATTGGTCCTGTCCCATCGTCCAATGGTGAGACAGCGTTTCCTGGGATTCTCTGGGAAAACGGGAATGTGGAGAGATCGGGGTGGGAAACGGGATCTGATCCTGTCCCATCCCATTGTCTAACGGTGAGACAGCGTTTCTGCAGAGTCTTTGGGAAAACGGGAACGTGGAGAGGTCGGGGTGGGAAACGGGATCTGATCAGTCCCACCGTCCAAGGGTGAGACAGTGTTTCCTGGGATTCTTTGGGAAAATGGGAACACGGAGAGGTCGGGGTGGGAAACGGGATCTGATCCCATCCTGTCCCGCCGTCCAACGGTGAGACAGCGTTTCCTGGGATTCTTTGGGAAAATGGGAACGCGGAGAGATCGGGATGGGAAATGGGATCTGATTGGTCCCACCCCATCGTCCAATGGTGGGACAACATTTCCTGGAATTCTCTGGAAATCTGCCCTTTTCCATCCCCAAATTCCATAAAAACCCCTTGGGATGGATCCTGAGTGTCCTCGATCCCAGAATCCCGGAATGGTTTGGGATGGGATCCGTGGATCTCCAATCCCATCCCAGGGACACTTCCCACGATCCCGGGGTGATCCAAACCCACCCTTGGACATTCCCAGGGATCCAGGGATTCTCTGGGAATTCCAGCCCAGCCGGGAATTCCTTCCCCAGATCCCAAAATCCCAAGCTCCCCTTTCCCACTGGGAATTCCATTCCCTGTGTCCCACCTCTCCAGCCCTTCCCCAAATTCCAGCTCCCCTGGAGCCCCTTTGGGATCGGGAAGCGGCTCCACGGATTCCCTGGATCCTGATTTCCCAATCCCAGCCCAGAATTCCCAATCTCAACCCCAGAATTCCCAATCCCAAGCCCAGAATTCCCAATCCCAAGCCCGGAATTCCCAACCCCAGCCCCGATCCCGCCCTTTCCCACCTACCCGGATCTCCGTGGCCACAGAGCACTTGACCAGCTTGAAGTTCTTGCCCAGGTTGAAGCTGTTGCTGTAGAAGCAAACCTTGAGGATCCGCGTCTCCTCCTGCTCCCGATCATGATCCCGCTGATCCCGATGATCCCGAGGATCCCGAGGATCCCGAGGATCCCGAGGATCCGTGTCCGGCGTCCCCGCAGGCTCCGGGGTGCCGGGGAGGCTGCGGGAGGAGCAGCTCCGGGGGCGCGCGGGGGGCTCGGGAACGGCGCTCATCCTCAGCAGAGACGGGGACACCTCAGGAGCCGAACATCCCTTCCCTGCGGAATAACGGGTCAGGGCGGGAAAAGGGGAAAGGGGGAAAAAGGGGGAAAGGGGGGAAAGGGGAAAGGGGGGAAAGGGGGAAAAAGGAGGGGAAAAAAGGAAAGGGGAAAACAGGAAAGGGGAAAAGGGAGAAAAGGGAAAAGGGGGAAAGGGAAATTGAAAGAGGAAGGGGAAATGGAAAAGGGGAAAAGGGGAAAGGGGAAAAGGGGAAAAGGGGAAAAGGGGAAAAGGGGAAAAGGGGAAAAGGGGAAAGAAAAGGGGAAAGGGGAAAAGGAAAGGGGAAAGGAGAAATGGGGGGAAAGGGGGAAAAGGTGAAAAAGAGGAAAGGGGAAAAAGGGAAAGGGGAAAGGGGAAAAGGGGAAAGGGGAAAGGGGGAAAAGGGGGAAAGGGGAAAAGGGGGAAAAGAGGGGAAAGAGGGGAAAGGGGAAGGGAGAAGGGAGAAGGGAAATGGGGAAAAGTGAAGGCAAAAATGGAAAGTGAAAAAGGGAAAGGGGAAGGGAAAAGGGGAAAGGGGGAAAGGGGAAAGGGAAACAGAAAGGGAAAGGGAAAGGAGAAAAGGGGGAAAAGGAGGAAAAGGGGGAAAAGGGGGGAAGGGGGGAAGGGGGGAAGGGGGGAAGGGGGGAAAAGGAGAAAGGGGGTAAAGAGAAAGGGAAAGGGAAAGGGGAAATGGAAAAGAAAAGGGGAAAAGGGGAAAAAGGGGGAAGGGGGATAACGAGGAAAAGGGGGGAAAAGGGGAAAAAGGGGGGGAAAAGGGAAAGGGGAAAAGGGGAAAGAAAAAAAAGGGGAAAGGGGGAAAAGGGGAAAGAAAAGGGGAAAGGGGAAATGGGGAAAAAGGGGGAAAAGGGGAAAAAGGGGGAAAAGGGAAAAAAGGGGGGAAAAGGGGAAAAAGGGGGGGAAAAGGGAAAGGGGAAAAAGGGAAAGGGGAAAAGGGGAAAGGGGGAAAGGGGAAAGGGGGAAAAGGGGAAAAGGGGGGAAAAAAAGGAAATGGGAAAAAGGGAAGGGGGAAAAGGGAAAAGGACAAAAGGGGGAAAAGGGAAAAGGACAAAAGGGGGAAAAGGGGAAAGGGAAAGGGAAAGGGAAAGGGAAAGGGAAAGGGAAAGGGAAAGGGAAAATGGGGAAAAGGGGGGAAAAGGTGAAAAAGGGGAAAAGGGGAAAAAAGGGAAAAAGGGGAAGGGGGAAAAGGGGGAAAAAGAGGGGAAGGGGGGAAAGGGGGAAAAAGGGGAAAAAAAAAGTAAAGGGGAAAAAGGGAAAGGGGAAAGGGGGAAAAGGGGAAATGGAAAAAAAAAGGGGAAATAGGGAAAAAGGGGAAAAGGGAAAAGGAGAAAAGGGGGAAAAGGGAAAGGGAAAGGGAAAGGGAAAGGGGAAAGGGGAAATGGGGAAAAGGAGGGAAAAGGTGAAAAAGGGGAAAAGGGGAAAAAAGGGAAAAAGGGGAAAGGGAAAGGGGGAAAAGGAGGGAAAGGGGAAGAAGGGGAAAAGGGGAAAAAGGGTAAAAAGGGGAAAAAGGGGAAAGGGAAAGGGGGAAAAGGTGGGGAAAAAGGAAAGGGGAAAGGGGAGAAAGGGGGAGAAGGGGGGAAAGGGGGAAAAGGGGGAAAAGAGGGAAATGAGGGAAAAGGAAAAGACAAAAGGGAAAACAGAAAGGGGAAAAGGGAAAAGGGAAAAGGGGAAAGGGAAAAGGGAAAAGGGAAAAGGGAAAAGGGAAAAGGGAAAGGGAAAGGGAAAGGGAAAGGGAAAGGGAAAGGGAAAGGGGAAAGGGAAAGGGAAAAGGGGAAAGGGAAAAGGGGAAAAGGGAAAAGGGAAAGGGAAAGGGAAAGGGAAAAGGGAAAAGGGAAAAAGGAGGAAAGGGGAAAAGGAGGAAAGGGGAAAAGGAGGAAAGGGGAAAAGGAGGAATAAGGGAGAGAAAAGGGGGAAATGGGGGAAAGGAGGACAAAGAAGGAAAAGGTAAAAAAATGGGAATGTGACAAAGGATGTCCCCAGCAGGCCCAGAGCGATGCCCGTGTCCTTGTCACCTCCTGAGGGACATCCCCATGTCCTTGTCACCTCCATGGTGACATCTCCATGTCCTTGTCACCTCCTGAGGGACACCTCCGTGTCCTTGTCACCTCCTGAGGGACATCTCTGTATCCCTGTCATGTCCACAGTGACACCTCCAAGGTGACATCCCCGTGTCCCCAGCACCTCCTGAGGGACATCCCCGTGTCCCCAGCACCTCCTGAGGGACACCTCTGTGTCCTTGTCACCTCCATGGTGACATCTCCATGTCCCTGTCACCTCCACGGTGACACCTCCATGTCCCCAACACCTTCATGGTGACACCTCCATGTCCCTGTCACCTCCATGGTGACATCTCCATGTCCCTGTCACCTCCTGAGGGACATCCCAGTGTCCCCAACACCCCCTGAGGGACACCTCCGTGTCCTTGTCACCTCCACAGTGGCACCTCCGTGTCCTTGTCACCTCCATGGTGACATCCTCATGTCCTTGTCACCTCCATGGTGACATCTCCATGTCCCTGTCACCTCCATGGTGACACCTCCACGTCCCTGTCACCTCCAGGGTGTCCCCACCCCCCCCTCAACTCTGACCCATTTTATGTGGGGACAAAAAACCCCAAAAATCCCAAACCCGACAAAAATTTTCTCCGGAGCCAAAGGTGGCACAGTGGCAATCCCCATTCCCAAAAAAACCCTGGGATGAGACCCAAAAATATCCCAAATTTTAGGATCCAAAGGAATCCCAAATCCCACTGTTCCCAAGGATTTTTGGTCCCAGAAAAACCCTGGGATGAGGCTCTGGGACCATCCAAAGGGATCCCAAATTTTGGGATCCAAAGGGATCCCAAATCCTGTGAAGGGGATCCAAAGGGATACCAAATCCTGCTATTCCCAAGGATTTTTTGTCCCTGAAAAACCCTGGGATGCAATAATATCCCAAATTTTAGGATCCAAGGGGATCCCAAATTCTGATAATCCTGAGGATTTTTGGTCCCAGAAAAACCCTGGGATGAGGCCCAAAAATATCCCAAATTTTGGGATCCAAAGGGATCCCAAATCCTGCTAAAGGGATCCAAAGGGGATATTCCCGAGGATTTTTGATCCCTGAAAATCCCTGGGGTGATGCCCAAAAATATCCCAAATTTTGGGATCCAAAGGAATCCCAAATTCAATAATCCCGAGGATTTTTTGTCCCAAAAAAATCCTGGGATGAGGCCCAAAAATATCCCAAATTTTGGGATCCAAAGGAATCCCAAATCCCGCTGTTCCCGAGGATTTTTGGTCCCAGAAAAACCCTGGGATGAGGCCCTGGGACCATCCAAAGGGATCCCAAATTTTGGGATCCAAAGGGATCCCAAATCCTGCTAAAGGGATCCAAAGGGGATATTCCCAAGGATTTTTGACCCCTGAAAATCCCTGGGATGCGGCCCAAAAATATCCCAAATTTTGGGATCCAAGGGGATCCCAAATTCTGATAATCCTGAGGATTTTTGGTCCCAGAAAAATCCTGGGACGAGGCCCAAAAAGATCCTAAATTTTGAGATCCAAAGGGATCCCAAATCCTGCTAAGGGATCCAAAGGGATCCCAAATTCTGCTATTCCCAAGGATTTTTGGTCCCAGAAAAACCCTGGGACGAGGCCCAAAAATATCCCAAATTTTGGGATCCAAAGGGATCCCAAATCCTTCTAAAGGGATCCAAAGGGGATATTCCCGAGGATTTTTGGTCCCAGAAAAACCCTGGGATGAGGCCCAAAAATATCCCAAATTTTGGGATCCAAGAGGATCCCAAATCCTGCTAATCCGGAGGATTTGGGATTCAAGGGATTGCCCTGGGTTGGATTTCGCAGCCCTCAGCTCACGGCGGAGCCTCTGGAATGTGGAATTCCGCGCCTGGAATTCCGCATCCGGTGCCCGGAGCCTCTGGAATGTGGAATTCCGCATCCGGCGGCTCCTGGATCCCAGCCCGGAGGAACTCGGGTTGATGATTAAACCTCCAGGAGCCGCCAGGAACCGGAATGGGAGAGCCGGGAATGTTCACCGGGATCAGGGAATATCCAGGGAATCCTTGGAGCCGCTTCCCGATCCCCAAGGGGCTCCAGGAGAGCTGGAATTTGGGGAAGGGCTGGAGGGGCAGGAGCCAGGGAATGGAATTCCCAGTGGGAAAGGGGAGCTTGGGATTTTGGGATCTTGGGAAGGAATTCCTGACCGGGCTGGAATTCCCAGAGAATCCCTGGGAATATCCAAGGAATGGTTGGAGCACCCTGGGATGGTGGGAAGTGTCCCTGGGATGGGATTGGAGCTCCATGGATCCCATCCCAAACCATTCCGGGATTCTGGGATCGGGGACACTCAGGATCCATCCCGAGGGATTTTTATGGAATTCAGGGATGGAAAAGTCCCGAATTCCCAGTAAAGGAAAAACCCAGTGGGGATTTTGGGCAGTTTTTTGGGGGTTTTTTGGGGTTTTTTTGCAGTTTTGGGTTTAGTTTGTATGTTTGTTTTTGGTTATTTGGGTTTTTTTGGGTTCTTTGTGGGTTTTTTGGAGGTTCTTCGGGTTTTTTTGTGGTTCTTTGTGGGTTTTTTTGAGGTTCTTCAGGGTTTTTTTCGTGGTCCTTTGTGGTTTTTTGGGTGTTCTTTGGGATTTTTTGGGGGTTCTTCGGGGAATTTTTTTGGGTTTGGGGTTTTTTTTGGATTTTTTGTGTAATTTGGGGTTTTGGGGTGGGTTCTTTGGGGGTTTTTTGGGGTTTTTTTGGGTTTGTTTTGTTTTGTTTTTTGGGGGTTTTGGGGCATTTTTGGGGGGTTTTATTTTGTTTTGTTTTGGGGTTTTTTGGGGGTTTTTCAGGGTTCTCGGGTGTTTCTGGGGCTCTTTGGGGTTTTTTGTTCTCTCCACCCCCGGAAGCCGCGTCCTTTGCACAACCCGCGGGTGACACTCGGGCGTGTCCCCTCCCCGTGGGGACACCTCCCCCACCGCGTCCCGAAAAAACCCCGGCACGGCTTCGAGAAT